GGGGGGGGGGGGGGGGGGGGGGGGGGGGGGGGGGGGTTGGGGGGGGGGGGGGGGGGGGGGGTGGGGGGGGGGGGGGACGTATCACTCGAACGCTTCCGGAATATTGAAGCGATCGACGGAAACCTTTTGAGGAATCGACTGCTTCCTCTCTTTCCCGGGGAAAAAAAAAGAGGAAACGGTCTCTTGCCGTCGCGACCGTTCGGCTCGAACGAGCGGCTTTATTAATTATCGTTCCGCTCTGTCGTGGTTTCGGCCGTCTGATCGATGTCGCCGCAGATGATAATCTGAAAGCGGCCGGTCGTTGGTCCATCGGCCATCGACGAAACCGTTGCCTTCTCCGGTCCCCATTTGCGTGCGAACTTTTGCGAATCCACTTCGTCACGGCGTCACGAATGACGAAGTCGCCCGTTACGTTTATGTAGGACTGTACTTGTCTGTGGCCTGTCAGCCGATGAAGCAGTGGATTCATCGCACTAATGCGAATATTTTTGGCTCCCCGATCGCCCAATTTTGATGTCCCGAAGAACGAGATCATTGCGAAGAGAACTTCGAAGTACAACGGGACATTTCTATTGAATTTCCCGCCTCTACCGCGCTGACCCGAAGGCCAAGCATTCCATCGGGACGCATGCCCTCTCGATGACTCAGCCGTTGCAATCAATTTACGACCAATTTTCTCCGCACGCGCCTCCCCTCGCAAAGCAGAAGCGGTCGGAACCATCTCTACCAGATCCGATATTTAATCCCAATCGGTGAAACACCGCGAAAATTTCACGACAATTGTGACTTAATCCCAATCGGTGAAACGTCGCAAGCGGGAAAATTCCGCGGCAAATGTGCACAATGCTCGAAATGGGTCTGCGATGCGTTGTCAGCATACATTCCGAGCTGAGGCGAACCGAGGCGGAACTCCACTGCAAGAGATAAAAAAAAAGATACGAGAAATGGGATACGACTCATCATTACATCGTGAATAACGCTGAACACGCGGACGGAGCCAACAGTCGCAGTGCACGCGAATGCGAAGCGCATGAGGCATGCGATGGATGAAACATCCACGTCGAGGGACGCGAATGCGGGGATTGGCGGAGGCAGGGAGAATCAGTTCTCGCGGGAAGACGTGGCATGGTTTCCCGCAGAGGGAAAGGGTGGAGGCGGGGACGTTTCTCAGCGAGAGCGGGATGGTGATGGGGGCCGTGGCGTTCCAAGGTGGCCGTGTGATGCGAATACGTGGATGTGGGACTTTCGTATTGCATCTAGAGGAAAGCGGCGAATCAAATTACCGCAGAGGAATGCGGAAAAAAAGAGATATTTTCGGGCAAGAACGTGACGGTAGGCCTGTACGTGAAAGGCGAAAGGGTCCAAAATGTCCATGCCGAGGGGCACGGATGATGCCATGTAGTTAGCATTAGTTCTGGCTCAAAGAAGCGACATAAATTCTACCTAACGACAGTGATACTTCTCGGGGAAAAAATCCGGGAAGGTACGCCTGTAAATGAAGAGAGACGTTCCAAAATGCACGTTTGAAGGTGTATGAAGTGGGCCAGTTCCTGGGCCCGAGGACACAAATTCCCACTGGCAGCATCATGTAGCATCGATTCCCGAACGAAAAGGCGAGAAAACTCCCCACGACGAATACCACCAGCGCCAAGGCCTCGGGATCCCGTCCCGCACTCGGTCGAATACGCCCGATCGCGATCCGCGCTGCACTCGGTCGAAGACACCCGTGGAGTCCACAGGTCAGCCCCACGTACGAAGGTGGAAAGGCTGAAGGTGAAAAGGTGAAAGGCAAGGTGGAAAATACCTCCTACGGTCTCGCTCGCTGAAAATATGACTCGGTACGAGATCGGTCCAAGTATTGAGGGGACCGCCAGGCTCTCCCACCATAGGGGGGGTGGGGGCGCGGGGAGAAGAGCAAGCTGCGATGTGAAAATGCATAAGCGTGTTGGCGGACGAGTATGCTATCTCATTTACGCATAAGAGCGTGTAAATGAGACAGCGTATTTGCTCTCGGAAAGGAATCGGTTTCGTGTCGCACTCGGATGATCGTCCCGGCAGCGGCGATCATCCAAGTGTGACGGATTAAAATATAGATGGTTCCACGAATGAACACGTAGATGATGCGATGCGGAGACGGATTACGAATCCATCTCCGGCGATCGCCCCGAGAAGCAAAAAAGTAGTCCCGCCTTCGACGATGACCTACATGAAGCGACTGATGGACTTCTAATGGATCCCTCGTGGCATGCATTACAAATACGTTGCACACGAGCAGACACCCGTCGTCGAGATCGTCCAATAGATTCGTGCCATTACAGGAAATGGCACGAATCTCGAAAAAGGAGAGCTTGGTGGGGGATCTCAAAATCGCCCCCCCCCCCCCTTTCCCAGGATCGTCCCCCTTCCCAAGACTCGCCACTGCACAGTGGGACAAAAGGGTATTTTCCTGGCCAAAATTAAAAAATCTCTCTTTTTTTTGCAGAATTCCCCTTTAATTGCCCCTGCTTTACCCCTGAATTGCCAAACAACCGAACTTCAGAAAACTGCAATTACTTTAAAGAAAGTTGAAGCCTTTTTCTAGACAGAACGCTGTAAACTTAACAAAAACCTGACCATGTCTCCACGCCCTAATTTCTTCAGGCTAGAAAGAAACCGACTTTCCCCAAGAAGAAAACCGTGATTGATCTGTTCGGACTCGAGGGAGCCTTCGACGAGTAAGTACTTTCGTGCCGCATGATGTGACGTTCTAAGTTATTGATACATATGCACGAACTTCGTTCCGAAGGATCTCACATCGCTGACATCTCATCGCATCGCCTCGTGATCGAGTGCGACGAAGATTTGGGCATTTCTGGTTCGTATCGTCGGGGTTTCAGCAGGCAAGTGAAAACTGGCTGCACGATTGCTGATTTAACGATAGAGTGAGATTTCATGCTGCTTCTACGATATCCCTCTCACTGCTTTTCTTAAATTTTTAAATTAAATTAATTTCGACTTCTAATCGCATCACGAGGTGATGCGATGAGAAATCGACATCAGATCATTTGGAACGGTGTTCTTTGTATGAGTCGATATTTCGGGCGATTCCTGGGAAGTACTTTACATTAGAAAAGTACTTTGTTTTGCGTTCCATATTTCTTATGAGTCACCAACTGATGATGCACTACTTATCCACTCGAGTGAAGGACTCATGCCTCGAATTCTTTTTTAATTCGTGTGCGTTGAATTCAAATGAAAGGAAAGTCGGACGCATCGAGAAAACTTTGCAGAAAATGCATGATATGTAATTCCTATTGTAAAATGTAGCAAAAAGTAGCAGCTAGTTTTCATGTGGCTGCTAAAATACTAACGTTAGATCACAGAAATGCCGAAATGTCCATCGCACCCGATCGCCTTCTTTTTTGCAGCGCACAACAAATATGGCGGAGCAGTAATTGAAGATTAGTGTTGAGATAAATAGGCACCGCGCTCGTAGTGATGTAACTTAGAATATCACATCATGCAACACGAAAGTACTTACGCGTCGAAGGCTCCCTCGAGTCCGAACAGATCAATCACGGTTTTCTTCTTGGGACCAGACGGTTTCTTTCTAACCTGAAGAAATTAGGGCGTGGAGAGGTCAGACTTTCGTCAAGTTTACAGCGTTCTATCTAGAAAAAGGCTTCAGCTTTCTTTAAAGTAATTGCAGTTTTATGAAGTTCACTTATTTGGCAATTGAGGGGTAAAGTATTTTGGCAATTTAGGGGTAAAGTATCAGAATTACGCAAAAAAATTCGACTTTTTTCATTTTGGCCAGGAAAATGCCCTTTTGTCCCACTGTGCACTATCAAAAAGCTGTTATGACCTGCACGTGGTTCACTCCGTCTCGTCGAGAGATGAAATTTGAGCGTTATCTCAGGCCCCAGGGTTATAAACGATAATCGCATTTGTTCCCAGAGCAAGTGCGAAGCCC